TCAATGCGTGTCCTGGGTGGCTGGTGAGCAGTGGGGTGACCCACAGGAGAGGGCTTGGGGGCTGCGGGACGCAGTGAGGTGGCACATCTCAGAGATGCTCAGCTGTGGGGATCTCAGTGCTTGTCTGATCTCAGTGTCTTGCACACAGCTGGGTCGGCTATGAGAAGGAGGGCTTCCGTGGCCACCAGTACCTGTTGGAAGAAGGAGAGTACCAGGACTGGCGGCAGTGGGGTGGCTATGGCAAGGAGCTGATGTCCTTACGGCTCATACGGACGGTGAGAGCATCGGGTGCCACCATCCTATGTCCCATAAGGTCATGTATTACGGAGAGCAGCCATTCTCCAATCCTTTCCCCACAACAAACTGAGGGCTCGGGGCTTGTCCCTGCAGGATTTCTCTGACCCAGCACTGGTGCTCTTCGAGGCCATGGACTTTGAGGAGGGTCCCAGCGTGGAGCTGAGTGAAGCACTGCCCGATACACAGCTGGCTGGCTATGGCACCGTCACACAGTCCATCCATGTGCTGAGTGGTGTGTGAGTATGGAACCTGGGACACGGGGACAGAAGGGACATAGGGATGGCCAAGCCTGAGCCTGAGCTTGCATCCCCCTGGCAGGTGGGTGGCCTACGAGGGCCCCAACTTTTCGGGAGAGCAATACATCCTGGAGAAGGGAGTGTATCGCAACTTTGAGGACTGGGGAGCCACCAACTGCCGCATTGCCTCGGCGCAGCCCATCCTGCAGGTGGGTGTGCACGGACCCCCAGAGCCTGGATCCCCCTCTGCACACCCATGGGTGCCCCATGGTTGGGTGAGCTGGCAACCAGTCCCACTCTGTTTGTTTGCAGGTTAGGGAACACAACCTGCACTTCGTCTCCAAGGTATGGAGTGGTGTGTGGGGAGGGAGACACACCGATCTTGGTATCACCACTCTTTGTGGGATAGTGACAGTGCTGCTTTGCCTGCCTCACTGAGCCCCTCCATGCCCCTCCACAGATCCTGCTCTTCTCGGAGCCTGACTTCCTGGGGGAGCACCTTGCCTTTGAGGACGAGCAGAGTGCCCTGCCTGACAGCTTTGTGCCCCGCTCCTGCAGGGTTCGTGGGGGCAGGTAGGACACTGGGGTCTCAATGGTGGGGGATAGGACGGGGAGTCCTGGGAGACACTCACCCCCCACGATGGCTGCATCAGCTCAAACATGCTCCTCTGCTCCTTGCCAGCTGGATCCTGTTTGACAGCCAGGCCTTCACTGGGCAGCAGCATGTGCTGTCCGAGGGTGAGTACCCCACGTTGGGTGCCATGGGCTGCCTCTCCTCCACCACCATCCGCTCCTTGAAGAAGGTCCCATTGGTGAGTGTCCATCCAACATCACTGAGGCAGAAGCCCTCAGAAGCCTCCTTGTTTCCTGCAGCATTTGTTCTCCAGCCCCAGAGCCCATCCATACACATGGGTGCTGGCTTCCCCCAGCTTTCCCCCTTTACACCTTCATCTTTGCCCCCTCCTGCAGTTCTTCTCAGAACCCTCCATCTTCCTGCACGGCCTGGAGTGTTTTGAGGGGAAGGAGATCGAGTTGAACAGTGAAGTGCGGAGTCTCCAGGCAGAGGGTTTCAACAACCACGTGCTGTCAGTGCGTGTCAAAGGCGGCATGTAAGTGAGCCCAGCCCTGCTGTTCCCATCCCAGCTGGGGTCTGTTTGCCTACTGAGGCTGACCGCACTCTGCCCATCTCTGCAGCTGGGTGCTGTGTGAGCACGGTGACTTCCGAGGCCGCCAGTGGCTGCTGGAGTGCACTGAGATCACCAACTGGCTGACCTACAGCGGGCTGCAGCACGTGGGGTCCCTCTACCCCATCCGCCAGGTGAGCACCCAGGGAGCCCCCAGACCAGCCGTGGTGCAATGGGGCTGGGGAAAGCAGCACGCTGCTGGCAGTGCTCAACCATGAAAGTGCCGCCAACCTTCCTCGGCTCCCTGCTCCTCCCTGCAATTTGTCGTGGCGAAATGCTCCCCACGGGCAAGCACCTTGCACAATGTCTTGGCAGCATGGCATGGCGAGCCATGCTGTGCCAGCTGTGAGATGAACCAGGGCCACAGCCATCACCCTGGCGCTGTGGAGACATGCACAATGTGATTCTTGGGCGCTGCAGAGATCCTGAGCAAAAAGAGCTTCTCTCCTTCCAGAGACGGATTTATTTCCGCATCAGGAGCAAGGAGCTGCAGCTCTACCTGTCTGTCCCTGATGATGTGGAGGACATGAAAGCAGGGCGCGTGGTGGTGTCCAGCCTGAGCGAGCAGAGCAGCTCTGTCTGGTACTACGAGGATGGGCTGCTGAAAAACCAGGTCAGGGCTGCAGATTGGAGATGGAGGGGACCTGGGAATGCCCCAGACAGACCTTTTAGGGCTTCCACCTGTTTTTTTCCCAGGATAACCTCAGCCTCGTCACCACAGCCCATTGATTCTCCCTTCTTCCGGTCTCTTCTGGAGACATGAATGCATTTCTGCCACACCAGAGGATTTTATCACCTTGATCATGCCTGCCCCTCATTGTTTTCCTGCCTTCCCCATGTCCCACCCCAGAACCAGATGCTTTTGACATGAAACCTTCAAGCCCAAAGCCCCTGAGCTTCACCAGGTGGAGGCAATGGAGGGGATGGAGCTGACGTGTCCACCACCTCCCACTGCAGGTTGCCCCTGCCATGAGCCTGCAGGTCATCGGGCCAGCTGGGAAGGGAGCAAAGGCCGTGCTGTGGTCCGAAACCCGGATGCCATGTCAGACCTGGAGCATCAATTCTCAGGGACGGATTCACAGCCAGATGTTTGAGGATATGATTCTCGATGTAAAAGGTAAAGCTGTGGCGCCAGGACAGGGGCTGCTGTTCCAGGCACCCCGTGGAAATGAGGTGTCAGATGGGGCCACTCTCCTCTTTGCAGGCGGCCGATCATATGACCGGGACCATGCCATCATTTGGGAGGTAGCTGAAGAACGCCCCACACAGATCTGGGAGATACAGGTGCTATGAGCAGGGAGCACGTGGCCCTGGTGCCAGCAAGTGTAACAGGGAAGGACAGGAACACCCTGCAGTGGTGGGAGCTGCATCCTGCCCCGCTGCCTGGGAGCAGCTGCCATGAAGGATGCCATGACCACCCCCATTGCCCACCTCCCTCCTGGAGCACCATGGACACACGTGATGCTGACTGCTGTGGGACGCACTGAGTGCAACGCAGCAGAGCCTCTTCCCCACCCCATTTCCCTCTCTGAACTGTATTTATGTACGTGTGTAAGATACGGCCCCACTCGAGGGGGCCAGCCCTACCTGGTTTTGCTCTCCTTGTCCTCCTTGCTGAGTTGTGCAGTGCTCCTCAAGCACAGGACCCATCCTGCTTCCCAGGCGGGAGCTCAGTGTCCAAGTGCTGTGAGCAACATCCAAGCCCTTGGTTCTGAAAAGCAAGGTGCACAGGCTGTACTTCTGAGGTGGCAGTGTGTCTGGCTCTGGATGCTGCTGTAAGGGCAGGGGGCTCTGGGTCCTTCGTTCCTGAGTGCAGCAGGATGAGATGCCGTGTGGATGTGTCCTGGCACTGCCAGACTGGGCTGGGCTGTACCATAGGGATGGGTACAGCAGAGCACTCATGCCCTTGAGATGGAGGGTGTTTAACCAGGGAAAGCCCTGCCATGGAGAAACATGAAAGCATGTGGGAATCAGAAAGCATTTAGGTGCTCCAGGACATAATGGTTTCAGTCCCACATGGGGATGGTGATGGTCTTGGGCTGACATCAGCACCCTGCTCTGCTGCAGGCTTGGGATTGCCAAAATCATCGCCAACGTGAGCCCCGCTGCACATCCCCACCGCAGCTCAGCTCCTTCTCCAGTCTCCAGAATAGAGCTGCCCTCCATCCAAGCAGGGCTCAGAGCAGGGCCGGAGCTGCCCAGGAACACGATGCAGAGCTGGAGGAGACATGGTGGGGGATGTCTGCACATCCAGACACTTCTGTCCTCGCTGCTGGGCAGAGCAGCACTCCTGGTTTGCTCAGCAGGTTTGGACCCAGCTTGGGGACATCGCGTCATGCGGGAAGCAATCAGTTACCAACCCTGCAGCAAAACCGGGCTGTTCTGGCGGCAACAGGCAGCACAACGCCTTCCCTGCGGGTCTCTCCTGCAGACAGGGTACACTTAAGTCCTGACATCAGGCAGCTCCAGCTTGCCAGTGATTGCTCTGGCTGTCGGCAGGAGCCGTGCCCAAACACCAGTGATTATGGCGAAACATGCCGAGCAGCCGTGAGGCTCACTGGGGAAGGAGGTCAGAGAACCACACAGATCGCAGCACAGGGGCTGGAGCCCAACAGCGCCCTGCAGGCAGCAGCGGGAGGGGCGGAGCGCACACACTGCGCTGCGCCGAGCAGAGCAGAGCTGCGGCCGGGAGGCGATCACCTGGGAGAATGGCCTGGCCGAAGCCTGAGGGTGCCCGGCCGCTGCGTGGCCGCCACGCGTGGTCCGTCACTGGCAGGGACGCTGCCGGTGCGGGTCAGCCCCCTCGTGTGAGGCGAACGGCAGCCGGCGCACAGCTGCACCTCACCGCACCGCACCGCACCGCACCGCACCGCACCGCACCGCACCGCACCGCACCGCACCGCACCGCACCGCACCGCACCGCACCGCACAACCAGCAGCCCGCCGCAGCGCAACACTACCGCACTCATTCCGCCCTTATATAAACCCCGCCGGGCCGGGATAGGCCAGGACCGGCGATTGGCAGCACCAGATTGGCGAAGAGCTGGGAGATTTGAATTCGGTGATTGGTCCGCTCGGCGAAGACCGCCTGTGATTGGTTAGTGCTGGGTGGAGGGCGGTGCCTCGGGTCCGCCCGTCCTGCTGGGGGCGCTGCGCCCTTGTGCTGCTTCAGCCCGGCAATCGGGGCGCGGCTGCGGCCGCCCCGGAGGTGCGGGCGGTCTTGGCGTTCCCCTCACCGAGCCCGTCCCGGTGCCGGCCCGTAACAGCACGAGAAATAAACGCGTCGGAGCCTCCGTACTTTATTTCTCAGAGCTTCGCAGCACGACCGTGCTTGGAGCTGATCCTCCTGGAGGCTGCGGCCATAGGGAAGCACTGTGGGGACACGGGGACGGGAGCTGGCCGGGCCCGGCGGCGGAGCGGGGAAGCGCTGGACTGCGGGGACCTTCGGCTCAGCAGAGCCGCAGGAGGAAGGCCGCAGCCAGCCCCAGGGCCAGGGACAGGAGAGCAGGGCTGCCGCAGGGCGGGCTCCGGGCTACGATCCCCTCTGTCATGGTGCTGTTGTCCTCCGCCTGGCCTAAGGGCTGGAAAAGCAGAGAGGGCAGTTGGCGACGGCTGCAAAGTCGGGCAGAGAGGCGGGATCTCCTGTCTCGTAGTGTCTCAGTGCCGTGCGCTCTCCTGAGGCCCCACACGCCAGCAGAGCTGAGGACTTGCGGGTTTTCCCATGCCGGAAGCAAAGCGCCGCTCCCTCATGCCGTCGCCCTTTTTCGAGGCTTTTAGAAACAGCGAGTAGGAAAGCAGAAGGGAGGGGCTGGCCTCTGAGGAAGTGGCTGGGGATGTGGAGCCTGCGAGGCCAGTGCTGGAGGATGTGGGGTGTAGAGACAGAGCTGGGAAGGTCCCTGGTGGAACCAAGGGGGAGGGGAGCCAAGACCTTCCTGTTGCGAGGGGCGCTGCAATTGTTACATGAAGTAGTAATGCAGCTGGGGTGGAAATTTCAGGGCAGCTTCCTTCCCTCTCTAAAGAGCCCCTTCTAAATTAAGGCACTTGCTTGAACACTGCCGCCATGGCTGTGCAGAACCACTTGCTTTGTGTTTCACTGCTCCTCGATCTCACAGGTTCCCTCTGGAGCTGTAGTGGACGATTAGGATGGGCCTCATTTTGCAGGCACTCTTTCTAGCTGTGAAGGCTTGTTGTCACAGAATCACAGAATCACAGAATCACAGAATCACCTGGGTTGGAAGGGACCTCAAGGATCATGTAGTTCCAACCCCCCTGCCTAGCAGGGCCACCAAACGTACACATTCAGATCAGGTTGCCCAGGACCCCGTCCAACCTGGCCTTGAACACGTCCAAGGACGGGGCATCCACAACCTCCCTGGGCAGCCCGTTCCAGGGCCTAACTACTCTCCTTGTCACAGGGTGAGATGCTCAAATGTAAATGCATCCCATGGAGCCTACAACGTGTCACATCTGTGTGGCATTTGAGAGTGACGCCAGCTCATCCAGCCTCATTATCAACATACAGCAGAAAAAAATAAGATCAACCCAAGAGCTGCTCTGAGGAGCATCACCCTCCCTGGAGGTCTTTGCCCACTTCCGAGCAAAGGTCCCCACCCAAGTGATAGCTGCTATCTGCCTGCATGGTGCTGGAACCGTTGAAGGGCCTCCCAGCAGTAAAAAGGGGGAAGGGAAGGGAAGGAGGGAACCCTGCTGCTATGCCCAGCGTCCCTACAGCCATGCGCAGCAACCCTGAACCAGGCAGCAGCTGGGATAGAGAAGGGGCCAGCATGCAAAGGAGAAGCTGCACAATGGGGGGGAGAGCTGAGAGATGATAAGGTTATGAATATGCGTAAAGCTCTTAAGCAAAAAAAAAAAAACAACCTCAAACAAAAAGCAACATACAGAAGTATTTAAACTTTGCAGCCTGCAGTGCAAAGCTCCTTTTACAGCAAGCATGGTTGAAGTAAAATAAATTGTTGTGGCTCCCATCTGAAGGCAGAATTCCCCCACCGGTTGGATCCCAGACCCCTAACCACTCTTACACCCCAGGGATGGGTCTGGCTGCTCCCCAGCTTTTGGGGTGCCCGAGCAGTGGGCTTTCTCTTACCAAGCAGAGGGCGAGCAGGGCAATCAGGAGGAGCAGGTGGGCACACTGGAGAGGCTGCATGGTCCAAGCTCAGTGTGCAGCTTGCTGCAATGCTTCCTCATCTGCTCACGGTGATTGCTATCAGAGCTTTTAAAGTGCAGCCGTGGCCCCATCTCACCAATCACACTTTCCTTCCTCATGCTGCTTCTGCAGAGCACAACCCATCACGCAGAAGGGACACCATAATCGGATCCATGGAGAAGTGCCAGGAAGGCATTACTGGCGCTGCTGATGCTGCAGGGATGTGCAGGTGGGGATGATGCTCTGAACAGGACATCCCAGCCACCATCTACAGCAAAGGCAGTGAGCCCCTTGCCCTCCCATTTCCAACACCATATAGCACTCCCTACATTGTGCCCCATGCCTGTGTAGGGCCAGCACCAATTACAGGTTCAAACCCTCTGCTTCAGCAGGAGAGTCTGCAAACACTGCGCCGTGTAATGAACCTCCTGCCCCGCAGTGAAGGACAGGAGCTAGGCCCAAGACACAAGTGTGGCAGGGTGGTCTGATCCACATCACAGATGGTGGCAGGGCTCCCTTCAGCCCTAACAGCGTTTGCAGCACATCGCTGAGCTGCACCACCCACCTGCCAGCAAACAGCAGAAAACAGAACGGGCTATTTTAGGACAGGTTGAAACGAGCAAAGCTACACCTGTTGCTGTGGCTTTCATTTGTGTGAGTGCATCACAGTGAGCCCTGCGCGGGGGCTGGCGGCTCGGAGTGCAGCACATTGAATGCTCTTGGCATTGCATCTCCTATCTCACCCCCAAAAAATCTGGAATGCAGAAATTCCAATAGCCATTTTGCCTGAGTACACAACTGAAAGACTGCTATTTCTCAACCAGCCAAATTGCGGCCTTGCAGCTTTCTCTGGCAGCCAATGAATGCCTAATAGATAAATTCCAACTTTCCTTCTTGTTTTCTTCATATGTTTCCTTATGGTACACATAAGAAAATATTTGTGATATTTCTGTCCTGAGCAGCGCTGGAATTATTTGTTAAGGTGGCACGGTGTCCCATGGTTATTTCTCGTCCACTCTCTTATCTCCCATTTTGTGGAGGTCCCCTGAGTTCATTCCCACTTCATTACGGTCGCCTTTTAATAGGTGCAAAGCGATTCGCGCTCTCTGCCGCGGTGCACGCCGGGACTTGCAATCCTCGCCCGTCCGCCCCGCTCCACTTGACCGCGGCTCAGCCAATCACAGCGTCCAGTCGTCGCCGTGGCAACCGCGGGTAAACAAGATGGCGGTGCGGGCGCTGAGAGCGGGGTGAGTGCTGCGGGACGGCCGGCCTACCTCAGGCCTCCCCGCCGAGCCAACGCCGAGAGGCCGGGGTCGCTTCTGGCCTTTGTTTCAAGTCCCGTTGTGGTGGGGGGCCCTCAGGATGCCTGCGGGAGCATTCGTGGCCATTTCTGTGCTGCGCTGACTGAGAGGTGCAGGAATGCCCTGCCCGAAGGCACGCAGTGTGGGCCGGTGAGGAATGCAGAGTTTGGGCCCTTCGGGACAGCCTCTTCCTTTGCGTTTTGGGAAACTTGCTCATCAAGGAATCCCTCCCCCCACAAAGCTAACAAACCTATCCTCGTTTTTTATATATTCCCTCCTCACCACTTGTCACAGCAGGGCCCAGCTGAGCTGTTTGCTGGCAAGGCAGTGCTCACCATCCACACCTCTTGTGGTGAGCGCAGCTCTTCTTCCTACACGCCCACCATCAGATAAGTGGTGGAGGGTTTTGACATCCTTGGCAACCCGTGGAGCACATTAGAGCTTCATTTCATTTCACAGTTTCACTTTAGGTCGTAGCTGACCTGTTAGATAAACAGCACAAAAGCTGCTCCTCTGCTGTCAGTGAAGTTTCCTGTTTGTGCTACTCCCAGATGTTGTACTTTTCATTAAGGCAGCTCTGTGGTACTTCCTGCCTCTCTGTGTGGCACAGGATGTTCTGTACCAGCGTCACAGCCTCTTTCTGCCAGCCCCATTTTGTGTTTGCTCTGAGCGAACTGAGATCCTTTTGGTTTTGCACAGTAACAAATGCTCTCACCCACTGATTTTGAGAGTGCTCCTGGGAGTGAATAACCTGGGGCCACTCCACTTTCAGTGGAGTTCACTTTCAGTGTAACACCTATGTTTCTTTACCTGTTTTTGGAGAAGTCATATGCAAAATACTAACCTTTCATACGTTTTGTGCCTCCTCACAGGTGACACAGCCTGTCCCCTACGGCAGCCTTCCCTTGCAGGGACAACACTAGAAAAGAATATATGACATCACAGAATGGCTTAGGTTGGAAGAGACCTTAAAGATCATCTAGTTCACCACTTCACAGGGTAAAGTCCCTCAAAGATAAGGGGGTTCTTGACCATCATAGTCTCTCAGTGACAGTCTGGTGGACTCAGTACCCCAGGCGAGGGCTATTTTGTGTTGTCTTCCCCTCACATACACAGCATGCTGCCATTGACATAGCTACCTCCCTACCAACAACTCTCAAAGATAAGAGCTGAGGGATTTCCAGCCCACACCCGCCAAAGGTATCCTTTTTTCACCTGCTTTGGCAGAACCAGAGCTCATGTGTGGGTTCCCTTATGGTGCAGATAAGCCTCCAATATGAATTGCCTTTCTAGAGGTAACGTATTTGTGCTTTCAGGTACTGAGGCATTCCCACTGACATGGAGCTCATGTCATCCATGATGCAAAAAATCAGTCTGTTGGAACAAAAAATAGATAAACAAGCGCAAGAAATCCAACTGAAGGTAAAAGTTCTGGCCCTTACCAGGCCTGTTCAGTGTCCTGATTTAACTTTTCAAGCCAGGGTAATGATACACTCACTTAGACACAGTCTGGGCTACAACAAGTTAATCCATAGCCTACTCTGTTAATTAGACAGGTTAGCCTTTGTAAAACAGCAGAGCAGTCATATCTGCCCTTGACATGGAAGACTGGACAGCCCTTACTGCTCTGATCCTGTGACTTTACAAAGTAATGACTCTCAGCATCCTTTCACTACTATCTATTTGGCTTCAGACTCTTCTTTCTTTTGCATTCTGAAAACAAAACAAAGCAACCAGTGGTTTAGACAAGAAAAGTAATCTTAGAACAGGTCTTTTTGTAATACTGTTGAGAATAAATACTGTTTAGTTTAGAATAAATAGCAATAGGTTGGTTTTTTTTTTTTTGGTGGTTTTGTCTTCTTTTCTAACCAATGGTGACAGAAATGCTGGTCTGCTTTCTAGATCAGCCACTAACAGGCCTAAGTATGAGCTGCATTCTTGTGCAGATGGAAGGGGGAGATAGGTTAGCAATGTCCGCAGTCTAATATTGGAGCAGTGTATTACATCCCACCCCTCTGCTGAGTCACAAATTAAGACATTTGTGAGGCCATTTTGACCCTTATTTTTCCTCTCTGAGAGAGAGCATGTGCAGCACTGCCTCACCCAGCCAGGACTAATTATGCAAACTGCATCAAGGTCCTGAAAGCAGAGGATCTTAACAAGGTCATTATTCATTCTGATCTTGAAGGACAGGAAGATTGCGGAGCTTGAGGAGAAGATGAAGACTCTTCAGAAAGGAGAAGGTAAAAATTGTTGGACCCTTGGTACCTTGCTCTTACCCACGGGAGAGTTACAGGTCTCCTGGTGCTGCTGCAGAGCAGACTTGGAGACCTTCCTTCTCAGCCATCCCTGCCTCAAAAGCCTATGAGCCTCTTCCATGGTGGTATCAGTTACACACACGGTGCTGTTTGCCAAGGTAGATCCTCACTTCAGTTGTTCTGCTTTTCTGGCGCTGCACTAAACATTATTTCCTGACCTATTTTCCGTGCCTTAATAAGTTTCCATGAGCACAGAATAACCACAAACCTGATGGCCAGAGAAAAAAAGAACAATGTACACCATACAGTTCAAATAGGTTGGGAAAAACAAACAAACAAACAAACAAAAACCAACAAACAGAGCAACTCACAGCTAAGCAAAACCAAAAATTGACTTGCAATCTCAAACAGCACCTACAGGTTCAGGCTCACTCATTTGCAAGGCAACTTAATGCTAAAATAAGCTCAGCTTTAAGTGAGTCACTGAAGCTCTTCTGCTCAATTTCTTGGAATCCATAACTCCTGCTGATCCCAGACACGTTTCCTGTCATGGCTGAAATACCTTGTTGGTATAAAGCTGTGCTGTATCTCTATTTCCTGAGCAGAGAACCACAAAAAGCCTGTCAAACCACAACTGTGTTTTGTACCTCATCACACACTGTGCCAGCTACAAAGCCTAGGTTTCTGGATCCAGCTTTGGTGGACACCTGCTGATTGTTGAATAGGTCTCTTAGGACCAAGACAAGCAGTTCTCAGTGTACAGCAGTGGACAGCACCACTCACATCAGCTTCCTATAGCATAAAACTTCAGCAGTGTTTTACAGTTTACTGACGGTGCAGGCAGACTGCTGGGGCTTCCACATTGTGTGACGTGGGCTACCAGAAGCTCTTCTTTAAGGCTATGCACAGTAAAAGCAGATCTTCCCTCTCAGCTGCTCCTGACTCATCCACAGCAGAGGATCTGGAAAGGAGGTGCCTTCAGCTGCAGACTCAGGTCTGGGAGATGGAGGTGAGATGCCTGCTTTACTTCCTCCAAGCCATTTGCACCTTCGGTTTCAGATTGTTGCAGTCCCAGACTGCCTGGTTCTTTTCAAGCTGCCTCTATGATAACTACAAATTCTCTCTTCACTCCTCTGAAAGAAAATAACAAGCTGAGTGTGAACTACAGGGTAGTATGTTATTATTATATTGTACACTACAGGTTTTATACACTTGCCTGCTGCAAGCCTCATCATTTTGATTTCCAGGGCTGTGGAAACAACCTACACAGCTACTAGACTCTTGGGAGACTGCTGTATCACTACAGATAGTTTAATCCTTCCTCCCTTTTACCTGCTTCTAGTAGAGCTGCTACTTCTACTGCCATGAGTTGGCAGCCTCCCAACCCTGAGGTAAACCTTGTTCACCTCTACTTCTGCTTCTCACTGTTGCAGCACTGCGAGGCTTCTCTGTCTAGTTTCTAGCTCTGCTCTACAACGCTGACTTGTCCTTTCCTCTTACAGCGGTTTCTAAATGACTATGGTCTGATCTGGGTTGGAGACAGACATGAAGAGCTGGAAGACTTGGAGTCGCTGAGAGATGACGAACTGCTGGCAAAGAGGTTCTGGAAGGCAGGTAAAGCATCCGTGCTCTTTGCTAAAGCAGCCATCCCAGCTCCTCTGCATGCTTAGGGAAGGTCTGATACTCCTTAGATAAGCGGGTGATCAGAATCTGAGATCCTGTTCTGAGGTCTTCATGTCAGTCCATCTCAGGATTAGAGACATGGAACAACTTAACAGGAGCTGGGACAGGCAGAGCACTGGTATTCTGTACACCTATATTTTATAAACTTCATCTGGAGAAAAACGAGAGATCCTGGTGGCCCAGCCATTTGGAAGAATACCTTCACAGCAGCTGCTTCCTGAAGAGTTCACATACCCTGAATGTTTGAAGCTTGATTGCTCTAAAAACACTGACGTAAAATGGGTGGAAAACAGAACCAGATGCTTTGTGTATTTAGTAGCCATAGCAACTTACCCGCATTGTCTGGCTCCCTCAGAGTATTGTTTGTCTTTCCTCCCAGCCACCATGTGAGTGGTTTAACTGGGACCTGACTGTGCTGTATGGAGTCCAAGCATATTTGGCGGAGTGGTAACAGAGGAAAAAAAAAGAGCACTGCTTGGGCTATGTAACTGTTGCTACTAACTTACAACTGCGCAAATATGAGCTTGTTAATCTAATCCTTACATGAAGGAAGGAAGAAGACGTGAAAAGCAGTAGAAATATTTTTATACTTTTCACATTGCTTGCCCTTTTTAAGGGAGATTCCCTCCCTCTCATTTAAAGCTCTTTTCCCTCACCCTTAATCAAATCTCAGAAAATCAGAACAGAAATACCAAAGGTCTTACCTTCTGTTTCATTTTCTCTTTTCATTTCATTCTTCTGTCCCACTGTAATGCTCTCACTGCTTCGCCCTATCACCTCCTCAAACACCCTCTGCAGCGTCCCAGCAAGAGAGAAATAAATCTACTGCAGTGAGATGTGCTGGTGGCTCAGAGCATGCAGCTGCACTGACATTTCTTCAGCAGATCTGCCCTGGACCATTTAGCCAATTTAGGTTACTCATTCCTCTCTGTGCATTTTGCAGCACCACGTTAAGGGTCAACACTTAAGAAATTACAACCAAAACCAAGTTGCCGAACAGTTGGCTGCACTTTGGCTAGCAGCTGCTATGCTCACTTTAGGTGAAGGCTGTTTTTCTGCTACCGTGCCCTCACAGTTTTGCACACACCCACGTAGATCTGGCAGCCCTGAACCACGGCGATATTGTTGCACCATGCTTTGCAAAGTGACAAAGTGACGTGCACATGAAAGGCAGCAATGACAACCCCAAACTGTTGGGATGCAGAGACTCCTTGGGCACATCCACACAGAGGCGAAAGCTGCTTGGCTGGCATCTCCTTCCCCCCATAACTCTGCTCTTCCTGCCACAGGTGAGGCAGTTGTTTCCAAACACCAGGTTGATTTTGATTTAATCTTGGAAAACGTGAAGGGTTTGAACATGCTGGCTGGAGATGGCGTCTCTCACGTGCAGCACACACCAGGAGGAGCTCGGCTGAGGCAGCCAGAACCCCTCCCTCTGACCCTGTATCGGAATGGGATCGTCATGCTGGAAGGAGCCTTTCGCTCCTATGAGGAACAGTCTGCTCAGGTACGAAAAGGTTTGTGCAGGAGTCAGACGTGGAGCCACCCTGCTGTGATTCACAGTGTATCAGCAAAGGGAACTCAGAAGAACAAGGACAGTGGGATCACATCAGTCCCCAAAACGAGCAGCTAACGAGACCTCCGGCCTTCGCATCCCACTGCCCTGCTGGGATGCCTGTGCTGTTCTGCACATCTGTTGGAGAAATCACACTGCAAACTGCTGCCATTCACAGTAAGTCTCCTCCAGCCTGTTGGAGTAGCAGTATTCAACACTGGCAGCAAAATCTTGTGGCTTTTTTTTTTTTTTTTTTCCCAATTGGCTGGAAACAGAAATGCTGAGGTGCTACCAGGGTGAGTCCTGTTCTTAGCCCTGCCTTCAGAATGATCCCAAAGATTGGGTGTCAATCAGGTGATAGGTGCTTTATACATTAAAAATATATATATATGTAAACAAACCTTAAACTTGTTCCCAGCACACCTTTAAAAATCAACTGAGCAGCATTTTGTTGTTTTTGTATTATTGGTTGTTTTTTTTTTTATGAGAGGGGGAGTCTGGGTGCAGACTTCTTTTTTTTTGCATGGCAGAAATATTACAAACAGGAGCAGCCCAGGATGTAAACATTAGTCATCAGATAAATAGAAAATCAGAGGTATGACCATGAACAGGCTGTCATTTCTTGTTTCAGCAATGCCTGCAGGACATTATGGATGGTTATTTCCCTTCAGAGTTGCAGGCACGCTACCCAGATGGTGTCCCTCTGCAGGTAAGCAGTGCAAAGCTCTGCTCTCATGGGGTTTTTGGAAGAAATGGCTCTCTTTTTTCCCCAAGGAAGTTGTTCAGATTTCTTTCACCAAGCTACATGTTCCCTGTACCAATCTCTGGTTGAGGTTTCTGAACGCAGCATACGAGCAGCTAAGTTCTGTGCATGCGTGTATGGCGGTGGTGAGGAGCACACCTGCCTGAGCCGTTACAGGATGTAGGTGAGCAATTGTCAGGGCTGAACAATTTCTGTGCCTGGCTGAATCTTGGCTTGGATCAAGACTTGTGAGAGCACCAATAGGCTTTGCAGAAGAGCAGTGGTATAGGTGGTATATGCAGCCCCTGAAGAGCTGTACAACATCAACATCTCAACTGGTTCTCCTGGAAGAGTTTCTGAAAGCAGATTGGAAAAGTATATTTTGCACAGTTTGCAGAGAGTTTAATTTGCAGTAATTTAAATGGGTTTGGCCACCTGCAGTCCTTTTGGGCCCAATTTCTTTCTAATTTTTCAGGGATGGCAAAAAGCCAAGGCCACATTTTCAGACTGAGAGCCTCAGAGGACTCCGATTTAGGTCTCTAAGTGCCTCTGAAACGTAAGCGGGCGCAGGCAGAGGGGTGCACCTGCACCACCAAGAAGAAAGCAGGGCACATCTGTGCAAATAGGTCAGAGCAGCGTGAGCTGGAGGGGGTGCGGTTGGAAAACCAGATGGAACGGGAGGGACTGTGCGGGGCTGTTGCTCATGTGGTGCCTGCAGCCAGCTTACTGCAACCACAGCTACAGGCCACAGGACAACGCTGAAGCCTAGGCAGAAGGACTGACCCTCTTCATACAGTTTTTCCCACTGCTGGAAGCCTCAGTCTGGCACTGTCCCTTTGTTGGAGCCATACATCAGATCCCACTGCAACTTCTGCAGTGCAGCATGAGCGACAGTAAATCCCCCTCCACTTCCAAACAGCTGCTTTCATATCGTAGAGAGCATTTTCAAGCATGGAAACAGACAAGAAAGGTCAGGCCTGCACACATTTTTTACAACTTATGGAAAGGGGATGGCTGTCCTGTGCCCGTTGAGACATTGAACTACACTGAGGCCCGGATAGGCCAGGATCTAGCAGGATTTGCTTTGTTAGAAAGCCTAGAGGAACTGGAGATGTGTTTCATTGGGTTTGGACAGCTGGAGCAGCTCCCAAGGAAGTATCTCAGTTCCATTTGGGACTTACTGCTCTAGGTTGCTTATTTTATTCTTCTTGATACAGTGAGCCTTGCTTATAGCAATCGGCCGTAACCAACAGGTCACTGACAAAAGAGATGTGGTATTTCGGGAGACAGACCTTCCTGGGAGCTTTCCTGGCCACGGCCGAGTTGTTGGCCATTCAAAACTAAGCAAGGTGGAGGAGCCCACTGAGATCCCTGGTAAGTTCCTACACCTATCTCAGAAATGCATCTCCCAAAGAGAAGAACTGAAACCTCAGTGGGGCAGTCCAGCTAGCAAGAAGAGAATATGTGGGGTCTCAAAGAGGAAGGCAACACTTCCAGGTCAAAGCTTCACCCTTCTCAGCATCAGAGGACGCCAAGGAACCATGCATTCTTTGAATGAGGTCAGGCCTCATATTTCCTCATTTTGCTTCTGGGTTCCAGCAGCCTGCATAAGCAAAGCTGAGATACTCTGACTGGCTGGAGAGCCAAACGTGCTCAGCCAAGTAGGCAGAAAACAGCAGAGCTACACAAGCATAACTAAACAACCTGTGCACATGCACTGCCCTCAGCAGCATCTTCATATTTATATACATGAATACTCTTGCTTATCTCAGAGACATTCACAAGCAGAGAAGTTCCCTTTATCCTTTATTACTGGGAAAAAAGTAGCTGCCCACTGACACCACCAAAAGGAACCGACACAACTGCAAGACGAGCAATTTTCCAAGCATGTATGAACTGCCACAGTATCAGACCTTCCTGTTTGCAGCAGAGATAACAGGGTTTCTGCCTGTTACACATTGCAGGTGTGAGCTGCACAGTTGCTCTCTGGTTCCACTGGCAGTCACAACGTTAGCAGGCCAGAAAGTGGGACAAGCTGCAGCTGGGGACCAGGAGCCAGCATCCACACGGCCAGGAGAGGGTAGAGCTCTCCCTGCCAGATATTCTACTCCCTTTTCACTAAACCACTTTATTTGGAGGGAGAATTCTGTAGGTGTATGAGCTTTTTGACATATTCCTTCTTCTGTGGCAGGTCCCAAACCCTCTCTGGAACAGTCTTGGAACAAGTATTCTAAGTCATCACTGTGCAGTGAAGCAATGGCCACCCAGGACACAGTCGGAGCAGTGCAGCAGGTATGGATGTGCCCAAACAACACCCCAAGGAGCAGGCTGGCACGGTTCCTCAGGCTCAGTGCTCTGCACACAACCACACCTCCTCCTAACCTCCTTTTCCCCAGATGCTCCATCAGAGCACACATGCAGCACTTTGGCACCTGCTCCTGGTCTGTTCTGGCTCTGGTTTGTCCCTGTGTAGAACAGGTGGTGATACTCACCTGGGTTTGGTTGCAGGGCTCTGAAGGGGTGCGGAGCAGCAAAGAGATGGTGGTGGGGACACCCAGGCTGCCTGCCCTGCGGAGGTATGGCTGCACACATCCCTGCCCATCAGCTCTCCCTCCTATCTCACTTTTTTTCTTTTTTCCCCAGGGGTTTCTGCCCATTGATTTTAAACCTTGGGAATAACTAGGAAAAAAAAAAAAGAAAAAAGCCATATTTGGTTTTTTTTTGGGAAAAACCTGCCAACTTTTACAACTCTAACAAAATTTCTGTTGTTCAGTGTAACTTACAGCAGTGAAATACTTTTCCTGACGGCAGGACAGAATTTAAGAATTTAAAGCCACCTGAAGCTGTTAACTAAATGGAAGAATCCCTCCAGGAAAGTGATGTGCAAGTGGGATGTGACATAAACAGTGTATTTTCACTCAGTTTTCTAGGCAAGATAAGACCCAAATAGCTAATGAAAAAATCCCAAGCAGATTATTTTTAATCAAAAAAGTAGGGCAGAGATCTTACCAGACAACCCTGATCTAAAATAATAAAGCAAAAAAAGGTCAGCAATCCTCTTCTCAAGGCAGCTTTTAAGCAGTGAAAGCAAAGTGGCAGCTGGGTCTGTGCGCAGGCTAAGCCTTGCTCATCTCAAGCACATTCCCAGATGGAAAGCTCTTCTCCCCAGTTCTGATGACCCCAGCACACCAGAGCCCTCACTCCTTAACTGAGACAGCTTTCTGACCTCCAGCTTAGAGAGAGCTGAAGAGCCTGGAGCTTCTGCCCCTGAAGTCTGCACTCTTCGCATCAAATCTGAGAGCGGGGAGCAGACGTATGTCATAAAGATGCTGTTCTCAGAGACAATAGGGGACCTGCGCCAACACCTTGCCCACGCCAGGTAGGACTCTTGCCCTCCTTGCTCCCCACTCTGCTCCATACAGCTCTAGGGGAGGTTCTGCTGCTGCTCAGGGCCCTGGAGCCATGCTTGGAGCAGAGCAGCCTGCACTGAGCAGAGCTGGGTCCTGGGCTCTCTCTGCTGCTTTGGCTCCTCTTGACACCAGAGCTGCTCTCTAGCTGGCAGGGATCTGCTCAGAGCACCTAATACACATCTTTGACAAAAAGCTGACGCATCACAAGAGATGCCTTTCATCCTCTCAAAACTAACAGTTCTGGACGGCTGGGGAACCTTTTTGGTCTTCGCTCATCATAGGCTGTAGCCCTTGCCTCTATCCAAGCTCATGCTGAGCTCACTTCTGCTGGGACGGAACAGCCTCCTTCCCACTGCAGCTGTGAAGCCTGGAATGGCTGCTCTGTGCCTGGCTACACGCAGTTTGGGCAGGAAGCCTTTTTTTCTGCTTGGCCTGCACTTGCAAGGCAGCCTCTCCCTCTGCTCTTAAGTAACTGCGATTGAATGAGCCACAGCATCTCTGCAAAATCTTGGGGGATGCTGTGCATAGGAAAAGATTGCGCTGTTCTTTCCTAGGGGTGGAGATTCCGACTCATATGAGATCATCAGCACCTTTCCCCAGAGGCTGTACGCGGACAACTCCAGGAGCCTGCAGGAATGTGGGCTGATCCCCAGTGCCTCCTTGCTGCTGCGGAGAAGAGACCCCTTCCCACCAGAGGGGACGGGACTGCAAACAGCCTAGCGGCTCCTCTGCAGGAGGAAAAAGCTGTCTTGCACTGTTAACTGAATTACAACATCCCCTTGGCTGGAAGAGAGCAGAGTTGTCTTTCCAGATCTAGTTTCATTGTGCCGTTACCTGGGATGGAGAGCAGGGCTCCTTCTCCCTTTAGCAGAGTGCCGCATGCCAGCCCGTGTTCTGCTGCCCCCAGGGTGGATGGTTGCTCTTCCCCAGATCAGGTGGGCTGCTGTCACAGGGATTTCTGTTAGCTCAAGGCAGAGGCCTGGTTTCTCACCTCTGCTGGAGGTTATATTGGCTGATCTCTGCTCAGGGAAGGCTGCCAGCTTTGCACTGGTACCAGGGCAGTTGCTTAGCTGGACTCAGGGATTCTCTACAGCAGCAGATATCTGGGCAGGACAGGCAAATAGCAAGGGGTCAATCTCCTTTCCACAGAGTTGCTGCCCGGAGATTTCAACTGTATGTATAGCAGAAGTAAAGCAGGCTCAGTGACACGGTCTTGAGCAATGGCCTTGGGCCGTTGCAGTACTGGGACTGAGCCAGCCTCCTTCCAGCCAGGAGATCCTGCTGCTGGGTTTCCTGGACGTGAGCAGCTCCTTTCCTTGGACAGCCCCCATCTGCAGAGGGGCCAAGGCTCACAGCCACACGGAGCCAAGCCTGCTGCGGCTTCAAGCTGCTGCCTTCCTCCATCCCAGCCCGCCGCTTTGCTGCAACAGGACACCGTGTCATTGGAGAAGAGCATAATCCCTTTGCTTCTTCTCTGCTGAGCCCTGAGAGTAAAGCATCTTCCCCTCCTTTAGGCTGGGGCAACGCTCTGCAGGCCCCTTTCTGTGCACATTCTTCCCATTTCAGCTCTGACAAGTTCCCACTTGACTTCCAGCTGATAACACTCCCACATGTGCAAGGCAGCGCCTTCTGGCAGCTTCCCTTTTAGCAGAAGCCCAACACGTGCCATCACCCAGCCCTCTTTAAAGGCTCTTGATAAAAACATTTCTTTGGTTGCAATTTCCACTTGCATTAAGTTTCAAAGCAGCAGCTAGATGCAGAAATAGGGCAGGGTGGTCTGAGCACTTCCTGGGGCAGCTCTGCTTTCCCAGTCCCCTCTGACCAGAGCTGAGCCACGCACAGCTCACACAGGAAGCACCACAAGCTTGGGCCAGCTGCCTCCACAGCCTCCCTGCAATCAGTGACTCAATGCCTGCAGCTGTCTGCTGGTTTCCTCCCTTTTCACATACACTCCTGTATTTGCTTTAACGGCCCCCTCCTACAGGGCACTGCCCTTTTGCATAGGGCAACTGGTCTATAACCAACCAGGTAATTCCAGTTCTGTATTTTGCCCCTGGGTCTGGCTGCTGCTGTCCCTTCCCCAGGCTGTTCTTACCACACATGGGCTGCTTAAGAGAGGAACCTGCCACTGCTGCTCTGCTGGGTACTGAGACAAGTCCCAGGAGCCCTTCATTAGCAGCAGCGGTCTGAGGCATTCCGATCTTTGTGTCAGGCTGCAGTAGCACCTCAGCTCCTCCAAGATGGAACTGACTTAGAATCATTATGTAGGCTATTTAACCTGTCAAAATAAAAGCAATTTAAAAGGAACCCACGAGTACCAGCACAAAAGGTACAGTAACATTTAATAGCATCTCGGAAGACAACGCTGGTTATAAACTCGCTTTTTGGCAGGAAAACAAAATGCACTTGGTCCAAGTTGCAAAAAGCCAACAGAAAACAGGAAGGATGAGATAGCTGGAGCATCAGCTGTTGTGAAGCAGCCCTGAGCCATCAGCGCTCACCAGAGAGCCCTCAAACTGCGTCACAGCACTGATGGAGCAGTGCAGGTCCCAGCTCCAGGCCCACCTGCTCCCAGCCTTCTAAGAGACGCCTCAGCCCCAGCCTGCTCCCCAGTGGGTGGTCATACCCAGCTTTGTGCAGTATTTCTGCATTAAATTATTAAAAAACAAAACAGAAAACTTAGTTGCCATGATCTGTGCAGTTGAGATGAAAGTTTTTTTTCTTTTTAAAAAAAAAAAAAAGGAAGTGAGGCAGCAGGATTTACAATTTTAACAGCAACTGGGAGGAGTGGAAGTAACATGCAACCCTAAGCCCTTCCCTCCTAAAGCAGAAGCTCTCCCTGTAGAGGAGAAGGCTGACGGGCAGCTGCACTTCGCACAGCCCGAGAGGCTTTGCTGTTTACAGAGGCACTGAAAGCTGCGGTGTGAGCCGGGCCCAGCTCTGTTCTAAGGCCATGCGCAGCGAGCGTCGGGCTTTCTTTGGATCCCTCTGAGATGACATCGGGGTCAGGTAGGAAGGAATCGTAGGCAGCTGCAGTGAGTGGTTTTGGTCACGGGTTTCCTGGTGCTGGAATACAAGTCGCGGTGCCAGGACAGCGCTGACAACACGGAAGTGAAGATGGTCGGAGATGGGGGTGCACAGGAACGCAGGTAGAGTCCAGGATGGGCGGAGAGCCTGCGGGTCAGGCCAGCTTCAGGAACTCCTGCAGGGTGTTTTGTTCCACCGCTTCCACAAAGAGCTCATAATCCTGCAGGGAACAAAGCACCCGGTTGCTCACAAGCAAGAGGCACGCAGCCCCAGCGCCCGTGTGCTGCACGCTGCCTCCAGGCGGGCAGTGCGGTCCTCCCAGCACCCAACACAAATGTGCACAGCGCTGCTGCCAGGTCACGTGGAAGATGATGGGGCAAAGTTACGACAGCCCCACACAGCCCAGCCCCACTGCCCGTGGGCACACACAGCCACCCCAGCACTGCACTGTGCTCCAAATGCAGATTGACACCGACTGCCTTTTGTCCGTGCACCTCACGGGGAAACACCTTTCCAAAAGCATCCCGAGGGCATCTGCAGCAAAACCAAGGGGATAACGTCACTGCCCTCCAATCTGGCTCTCGCAGCACCGACCCCCAGCGCAGCCTTACCCCGCAGTACTGGTCTCCGTTGACAATCTGGGGTGGGATGGCTTTGGGGTTGCCCGCCTTTGCCCTCATCTCCTCCCGGAGAGCGTTGTCCTGGGAGATGTCCACCAGCTCGTACTTGATGTTCTTCCCATCAAGGATTCTGGTCACTTCGCTTTGTTGGGATTTGATCTGGAAGCGGGCGGCAAAAGCAACGTTATCGGGATGCGGGGAGGAGCTCCGAAGGATGAATGCACGCTCAGTGCATCAGCCTACACCTGCCTGGGGGGGCCTCTGCTGGAGGGGGAGGGGAGGCCACGCAGCACAGAGCCGCGAGCAGAGCAGAGCGGGCGGGGACGGGAACCGGGAGAAACACGGCGGGAGAGCAGGGAGGGAACGCCGGGATGGGGCGGGGTGGGGAGGCTCGTACCCCCATGGAAAGGACGCCCGCCCGAGGAAGGGAACCCGCGGCGCCCAGCCCTGCCCCCGCCGCACCGCGCAGCCCCTCACCTCCCGGGATCCGGTCACCGACGTGCTGTACACCTTCAGAGCGCTCATGCTGCGCCCGCGGCCGCTCCCTGCGCACAGCCCGGGCGGGGGACGCTCGGAGGGCGGAGCGGACCGGCGCCGCCCCGCATGTGACTGCGGCGACCAATGGAGCCGGCGGGCGCGGGCATGCGGGGCTGCCAGCGGCGAGGGCCCGGCCGGAGCGCTCGGAGTCCCGGGGGCCCCGAAGCGCTTCACGGCACCACGCGGGACTGCTTTGCACGAGTGGAGCAGAGCAGCTTTATTTTATACTCAAAACATTCGGTACAAACAAGTGGGTAAAGACAAACGCCGATATAAATACACCCGTGCTCGACTCGACGAAGGAAAACAACGCGAGGCTGAACGCCAACCGTCGGAATACGAACTGCACAACCAGCAGGGAGGTGAGGCACGTGGTCCTGCACGCTGCGCAGGGTGCGCGCGAAGGAAGGGCCGAGTCCCGCGCCCAGCCGGGCTCTGCGTTAAGCCCAGAGGTCGTTTTGCAGGATAAAAGCACGGCCGTTTCCTGCAGGGTAGCCCGCAAAGCGGTGACACGGAAGCCGGGGCTCAGCACGGGCGCAGGGCTGGGGCAGCCAACCCAGCCTCAGGGCTGCGGCGCTCTGCCGCGATCCCATTTGCGCAGCCGGTTGTGGGCAGGCAGGAGGCGCACGCGGCCCTGCACCCAGCGTCACATCTCCCACCGCACCCTGAGCAGAACGCGGCTGCTGCTGAACAGCACATCCCAGCCTGCAGCCTTCCGTGCCAGAGCTCCCGGCGGCCGGGACCTCAACAAGCTTTGGCCCACAGCGAGCTCAGGACGTGGCAACCAGCAGTGTGGGGACAGAGCCTGAGATGTAACACAGCACATGCTGGAAGCTCTGCATGCCGTCCCGGAGCTGGCTGGCACGGCACACTAACCAACTCGTGGCCTAACTTCAAGAACAAAACAGATTTGGTCTTAAATCTTAACACAAAAGTTACAACAGCATTTCTCTCAAAATTAGGGCTCACAGCCCCACTGTGAACCAAGAGCAATTGAAGGGGCAGAAGTTTCAGCAGTATGTTCCCCGTTTTACCACTGACTTCATCATTTGTGGGTCAAGAGAGAGCGACCAACACAAGTTTCACCCTTGGCACCACAGCACTGTCTCAAGCCAACACTCAGGACTGTAAAGTTGCCACTAAGATTAAGAAAGTTGTGACAAAATTAACTGTATCCCACACACCAATTTAGATTCCAATTATTTGGCACAGGAGTGGGGAGCAACCAGAGAACCAGAAGCAGAACTAGAACAAAACCTGAGTAGTTGCAGCCTCACTGGCATCAGGAGGAGCTCTCAGATCCAGCTGTACAATCCTGCTGCCATTTTAGGACCACAAGGGCTTTCTCCTCAACAAGGAGCAAGCAGAGCCATGCAGGTTCTCCTAGCAGGCCTGCAGCGTGGTCCCCCTGTGCAGAGGGTCCCTACAGCTCAGGCAGGAGCTGCGTACATTCAGAGTCCTGCAGGATTGTTTGCAATGGCTCTAAAGGCTGCTACAAGAAACACTAATTCCTCACCCTGCCAGCAGATGCATTAGGCAAAAGCAGTGTGTGGACAGGAAGCTTCTGTAGCACATTAAGGCACTTCAGCATCAATCCATTTCCTCTGTAGCCTGGGTCGTACACACACTCAGCGTGCTTTTTCAGGGGGATAAAAGGTTTAAGGCTTCTAGGATCCAGGGGCAGCATTTTGAGTCTTCTGTTAGTGTTGTTTTATTCCCCAACACCTGTTGGCCACCAGAAGACTCTGGCTGCATTTACCTGAGCAAAGCAGGTCCTGGTGCATGAATGGCTACACAAGCATCCAAGCCAGAACTGCACACAGCACCTGACAAGCCGTGGCACAGCGATGTAATTAGTGGTAGCATAATCAGCACACCTGCTTGCCTACAGAATCCACAGATATCCCTGAGCACTCTGATAGCACTCCACTCTTACAAGCTGCACAGGATCTGTGCAGAGAATTTATCAGAAAGACCAGGGCACACATTTTCTTTTAGTGTTGGTTTTAGCTTTTGTCACATTTGCATGTTCAGTGTCTGACATGCCTGGGAGGCTATTCAGAATTCATCTCCCAGAGTGAGAGAGTGCACCAGCTCCAGCAAAGACAACAAAAAACACATTCCATAAGATCAAAGCTACTGCAAAGCCTGACACTGAAGCCCTGAACGATTCCAGTTAGCCAGTCAGCAGATAAACACTTCTGGCAACAACCCCCAATTTCTCCTGGATAAGCCACACGTTTGTACCCAAGCATTGGGATGGTAAAGTGCTGAACAGGTTTTCAATTGTAGGAGTTCTAGTCTCCTGAGAGTTCAAGTCTTCATTTCCTGTCTTACTTTGGGGGGAGAGCTCTCCTCACTGAGTGATGCAGTTGTCTCCCATGTCCTGGGCGTATCTGTCAGATATTGCCGTTCTTAAGTCCTCCACCTCTCTGTGAAGCTGTTTTACCTCCACCAGTTTTTTTGCAAGCGCATCGGGGTTCAGCAAGTCGTCCTTCTCCTTAGCTGAGTACTGCGCAGCTGTGGAATCAGAGAAAAGTGTTACCTCAGGTATGCATTTCTGACCAACAGCCCCATGCATCTGTAAGTGAGACAAAAATCAATGCACATTTGCAATAGACATATTTGTAACATGCAGCCGTTACTGTATGCACTCTTAAAGCTTGCTAACTGCAGTAAGAAGGTTCAGGAAGGTAAGAATCTTCTAAACTGTAGGTGAGGTACTTAATTCTGCTGCAGCACGTGCAACAAAGGGTTTGCTATGCCATCACTGCATACTTACAGCGAATGCCCAGAAGCAGGGAGAGATTAGGATCCTTGCCCTGAGCCCTCTGAGTGACAATGCTGTAGACAGACTGCAAATCCTGCAGGCAGCTGGCCAGCTCACAGTGCAACTCCTGGGCAAGGCGGGCAGTCTCAGCAGGCAGGGGCTGAGCTGTCAGCTCTGCCTGCCGGAGCCGTTCCTGAAGGGTCAGGTTCTTCTCAATGAGATCCTGGTTCTGCACTGAAAGCTGAACAAGTGGCAGCAGATGAGTGGTCACTGGGTACAGAACAAGAACACTTCAAAGCAGCTTAACAGAATTGCTCAGTGATGATGGGAGCACCGATGTCAGGAGGAGCAGGTCTATATTTAAAGCCCTCCAGACTCTCTCCAAGTGAGTGAGAAAGTGAGCAAGTGTCAGCCCTGCAGGGTCTGAGCAGCCTGCTTTCCTGGCTGACAGGAAGCACTCAGTGATGCTGTGCCGTCCCTGACAGCGGGTGACAAACAGAAAAGCTTTCAGGAAACGCACACCACCATCTCATCCCCACCCACAGAATCACAGAATCACCTGGGTTGAAAGGGACCTCAAGGATCATGTAGTTCCAACCCCCCTGCCCAGCAGGGCCACCAAACACACACATTCAGATCAGGTTGCCCAGGACCCCGTCCAACCTGGCCTTGAACACGGCCAAGGACGGGGCATCCACAACCTCTCTGGGCAGCCCGTTCCAGGGCCTAACCACTCTCCTTGTGAAGAACTTCCCCCTAACATCCAACCTAAATCTTCCCTCCTTCAACTTGGATCCATTTCCCCTAGTCCTGCTGTTGTCAGCCCTAGCCATCTCTTCCCTCAAAGGCTGCCACTGTGGTTCGGTTCCTTAGGCTTGAGACTGAGGCTCACTCCTGCCCTTCAGCCAGGATTGCAGTTGAGTTTGGACTCATGTTCACTGCCTTGCTGCCCCCAGCAGGCCAGCTTGGTGTTGTCCAACACAATCCACAGCCTCATTTGAAGTTCCCGAAGCAGAAACTGCCTCTCCCCTCATGTTTTTGAGCACTGACAGGACAAGTGACGGGCAGAAAGCAGGACAGACTGTGCTGCTGACTGCAAATTAGAAGCCCTGCTAAAAACCACAATCATTCAATTGCTATGTTCAGGTACTCTGCACTGCTCTGACCTCTTTCACTGCAGTCCGCAGCTGCTGCAGCGCATTTTCCCTTCTCACTGCCTCCTCTTTCAGAGCTTGGCTTGTTCCTTCTTCCTGGGCCACCTGTTCTTCCAGGTTCTGCAAAAGACCATGGGAAAATGGTAAGTCTAGCTTGCTTTGTAGAAAATTGAATTTCTAGGTCCTTCCACAGCCACCTTCTCACCTTCACTTGCGAAGACAACTGCTCCATCTTCTTCTGCTGTTTTTCCACAATCTGGAATCAAAAGCACAGGTGTAACTATGAGCCACAGGGAATTTCAGCAATGCCACCAGGACTCCTCCTTCACTAGGACAATCCCTCTCTTCCTTGTTCCAGTCCACTTACTGCTTTAATTACTGCCTTCATCAGTGGGAGATTAAGGTGCCCTGATAAAAGGCACATCAGAAATATCAGCTACAAACAGACCAGCAAAGTTACATTCTTGTGGTTTTCTTCTCTACATTCTGCAGCTTTTCTCCACTAGTACTCCTGTAGTGCATGGTGATCACACCAGGAACAGTTCTTAAAACCTTTTGGTTTACAATTACAGGAACTGCTGTTTCAGTGCAGTTGTAACTACCTATAGATGCAAAAGTCCTTGATTTCATTCTTGTGCCCAGTGTGACTCCCTGGAAAAAAAAAAAATTATGGTTCCCAGTTGGGAGAGCCTGTTACCTTCCTGAGGCAGTCGCATTCTTTCTTCAGAGAGTCATTTTCTATTTTCTGTTTTTCCCCATCCTGTACAGGAGTTCCTCTCTCTGCATTCTTTACACACTGCTGCACCTTGTCCTGCAAGCTGAAAATAGCACAACACCATGGGAAAACCAGCTTTGTTTGGGGCGTTTCCCTCTAGATAATGCGAGGAGGCAAATGATTTCCATAGCAGATGTCAGTGCTCTCAGTTTGCATCCCAGCAAAGGGATGTGAGGGAAGGAATCCCATTCCCTGGGCACAGCCCTGAGCTTAATATTGGTGGAGCCTCAGACACTGCAGGCCACAAAGATCTACTGTGCAAGGAATTATGGTTAAGGCCAATAACCAGAAGAAACAAAAAACTAAGGAGGACAAGAGAAGCTGTTTTTCTTCCTGCTGTTTTGATATTCTTCCACCCCCTACTTGGCATATAGAATTTGA